AGATCACGACACTTTTGTATATAAAAAGAGCGTGTGAATTAAACAAGTCACATATTATTAGCACTGATGAAGATCCGGGCTTACGGATCGAAAGCTTTGCAGTAATAAATTTACGTGGTGTTTCCACAAACAAAACCTATTATAATCTATGCATAATATAACTTTTGTAAACGAAGCAAATTTTGTAAAACTTTATAATAATTTTGTATTAAAATGGTTAATTTTTGCGCTGTATGTGGTTGTTGTACCCGAACAGATATTGTTAGGGAGCATCTGGAGGACACTCTAAGGATTTGTGACGTCAGTGCAATTGGTCTATAGTCTGGCCACTACCTCATACTAAGTACGCATCTCATTGGTCAATCGGGTAGATTAAATTAATGCATCTGATTGGTTAATGGTCCCTCAATGGTAGCGGTAACCAAGAATTCTTGGTTAATAGTCCATCTAAAATAATCTGGTTAATTCAACCATATACAGGGTGTCCCCCCCCCCAAAAAAAAAAAATTCCCTCTTTAGAAATCACTCTTGTGCGTTATTATACCTTTGTGGATTTAATTTAATTGTACATGAACGGCGGAAGTATTTACAACTTCCCTTCGTCCAAATAATTTAACACTTCGGTTACACTTTGCGTTCACGTATAAATTGTTACGACAAATACTCGTTGCTTTGTAGTCATTTGAACCATTCTTACTCGAACTGACGATAGACGAATTTGTATTTTGACATTTTTGTGTTGCTGTTCGTTTTACAAGCTATTTTAAATTCCCAGCGGTATAACAAGGCACGTCCAACAACAAAAGAGTGAGTTCTATATAGGGGGACTTTTTAGGGGATACCCGGTGTTTCTTCGATTAAATATTAATTTTTCACTTATCACCAATTCAGTTTTCTTTGGGGGCTTTCTTAATTAGTTCCCAGGCTTTCGCTTTCCCCAAACTGTCCATGACGGCTTCTTTTATATTTGCGTCCAGCGTTGCATCCTGGGACAGTGCCAGAAGAATTTCGAAAATCTTGCTTTCAACAAGCTGTCGATCATTAAGAAAATAATGAGTAAAACGTTTTTATTGTGAATAAAATGAAACCAAAATGTGTTATATCGCATTACAATGTCCGCCTGTTGAAAACGGTAAAAAAATGTTTAACCCATTGAGTGGCAGCGCTCTCCACTTGGCGTTAGACAGATTAAAATACTCAAGTAGGGCGCATCAAGGATGTATGGGCTGTTTGTTTGGTTAACCCATTGAGTGGCAGCACTCTCCAATGGACCATTTGCATTATAGACTAAATTTTGATCTAGACAAACATTTCATCACAGCTTGAAAGAGCATTCCAAAATTAGTAATATTCCAAAGTTTCGTTGCGAAATGTTGTAAAATGCGGATAATATAGCCTTGCAAAATTTGCAATTTTTAGTCATTTTGTATTACAAACGGGAAATTGATGCCCCAACAGGTATTGGGCGGTCAATTTCCCGTGCGTAATACAAAATGACTGAAAAACGGCAAACTTCGCAAGGCTATATTATCCGCATTTTACAACATTTCGCAACGAAACTTTGGAATATTACTAATTTTGTGATACTCTTTCAAGTTGTGATGAAATTTTTGCCTAGATCAAAATTTAGTCTATAATGCAAATGGTGCATTGACGAGTAAAATCGTCTGGTGTTAGACAGAGTAAAATACTAAAGTAGGGCGCATCAGGGTGCATTGCCCCTTCAAGGGTAAATTAATGAATAAGTTCATCTCACCTTTTCTGCAATAGCTTTATTTGCGTTCATCAAATTTCTGA